AATTTTTGAAAAAAGGATGGGCATTAAAAGAAAATCAAAAATTCGGGAATAAAGGTGGAGCAAAATTTCCCAAAAAATAATTACCATTTTACAAGGATTTTTTCATGCAGGTAATGTTGATAAAAGTGATCGTTATACTGCTCAAGATATGTATTCTGAATTAATAAAGATAGCTGAAGATGGTGAAATAAATCAAGAATCAATTCCAAGAGTAGAATCTATACAAAGTTGGATTACTCGTTATGCTGCTGCATGTAAAGCTGAGGCGTCAAAAAATGTCATAAATCTAATAAATGTAGAGTTTAGTAATAATAAAAATCAATAAATTTATTATAAAAAAAATTATATGAGAATTACCATTGGAATTAAGTTGAGTTCTATGACAACAAAGCATTGTTCAACTGAATTATATTATGTTTTTTAAAAAAATTTATTAAAATTCAATAAACTTTAAAAAAACTTCAACATTTTGAAAAAAAAATAATTTTTTTTATATATATTTTATACCCGGAATCCATAGCTCCTCCAAAGCGAATTATTTATTTTGAAATAATAAAATAGATAATTTTTTACATTTTTTAAAAAATCAAGTTCCTATCTATAACTTTGCAGGTTTGTACTCCAAATGATTGGGATGATGTGGGTTTAATGCAAAAAATATTTGATTACTATCTAAAAAAAAACAATTGCAAACATAAACTGGTATAATTTTTTTTATCAATGGCATAAACAAAATTCTAGTATGATAGAGCTTTATTCCTCTTTAGAAAAAATGTATCCCTTAAATCATAAGTTTAGTGATTGTGAATTACAAGCATGGAATGCAATGCTAAGAGCTGTGGGTTGTACAAATATCACTCCTTTCAGTAATAAAATTTCACCTGTAAGTTAAAATAATTTCAAATGATCATTTTTATCTAAATGAGCATGCTAATTAATTAATATACAAATTACCATTTTTTCATTTCAGTATAGGTTTTGGACTAGAGCTATTGATCCTAAACCTGACAAAAATAATATTGATTTTTTGTATAAATCTGGTTTTTTAAGTGCATATCCATCTTACAATAGTAATGAAACCTTTTGGAGTTGTTTCAAGCAAAGCCTTGATGAAAATATATGAGGGTTAGATGGAAAGCAGAGAATACTATCCATTATTTCACAAGATTTTTCATGTGACACATTACAAAAAAAATTGGAGGTAAATTTTTCAATTAACATTTAATAATTTATTTATATATAATAAGCTGTTTAATAAGCTGTTTAATACAAATATATTTTATTAGGTTTCACCCAATCCTATATCAGGTGCAAAAAAGTCTGCACAAATTTATGGGCATGGATGCAAGCCTTTAGAAAACCAGTTTATACCCAAAGATCTAGAATCACAGAAGAGATAAAATCACAATTTGATGCCTTTTTTTTCTGATAAAGCTAATGTATCTATGAGCTCATTTAAAGTTGATCCTAAATCTGAATTACCAATATTATATTTACAAGATCAGAAGCAATCTTTGTGGAAAAAATACTCAGAAATATACCCAGGTGGAATGTCAAGGACAACCTTCATGCTTCAATTACAAAATGGTAGGTATAAATATAGAGATGACTTAGGTGGACTATGTTCAATTTGTGCTGATTATGGATATGGTGTATTTGATGATTTAAATAAAGTTGTAATAAAATATTATAGTATATTTATTCATTTATTAATTCATTTATTAATTTTTTATTTATAGTATATTTATTCATTTATTAATCCATTTATTAATTTTTTATTTATATCATCATCTATATATAATAGAAGAATTATCTGAAGAAATTCAACTAATTAGAAGGCACATGAAAAAAGATTATGAGAATGAAATAAGGATTAATATTGGTGAAAATGGCCAAATTAAAACATGATAAGTATCTTGATCATTGTTTGCTATATGCTTTTGGTACATGTAATGAGGAGCATAATTTAAGATGCAAGGGTTGTTTAAAATTCCATAATTTTTTTGAAAAAATAATTCCATTATTGCCAGAAAATGAACTAGAAAATATTGAGAATTACAGGGAAAAATTATATTATTATTTAGCACATCAGGCAAGAAAAGTTTATTTAAATACTCAATTTCGATCAAATTTATTAGAATTAGATGAAAATGATGCTGTAATAATCATCGACTATAAAATGAGGATATTGCCAAAAACAGCTTGAGACCAAAACTGAATTTTTTGGGAAACATGGGTGGACATTACATTCAGTATTAATGTACACCAAATCAGAAAATCAAGAAAACTACAACATAATTGCATATGATCATTGGTCTGATGATACTAAACAAGATGCATGGTTTACAGCATCTTCCTTAAATGCAGTTTTTGAAACCATGACAAAAAAACCAAAATGGGTAACAATTATTTCTGATAATGGGCCTCATTATCACAATTCAGAATTAATGATAATTTTGTCATATTGGAAGGATTGGTATGATATTACAATTCATAAATGGATTTTTCTTGAACCTGGTGAAGCTAAAACTACAATTGACTCTCATCACGCTCAGGTAAATTAAATTTATTATAAGTTATTTAATAATATTTTTTTAATTATTTATTTTTGCTTTTTATAGATTTCACATTCAATTAAAAGATATGTTAGATTAGGATGTAATATTACAGAAGGTAATGATATTGAATTAGCCATCAAAGGTTTACTAGGCACTTCAGTAGCAAACCTGACACCGAATAGGGAAAAAAATAAAGGAAAAATGAAAACAATACCAGGTATATCCAATTGGTTTGAATGGCAATGGCCAACAGAAGGTCAATATGCTGGTAATATTAGAGCTAGATCCTTGCCTAATATAGGTGGATGGAAAAATTTCTCCCCAGCACAGATTCAAAAATTATCAAAAGCAAAAGTTACTAAACCTCAACCACAAATTTCTATCCCAACCACACCAAATTTACCTTGGACTTTGTCAATTCCTAAAAATATGGGTAATTAATTGTCTAAAAATTTTCTATTATTTTAAATATACAAATTTAATTTTACAAACTTACTTGAAAGATAAAATTGTTTATCAGGCAATGAAATTAATAAATCCAAACCAAGCAACATAACAGTCCAACCAAATCAAATATTGTGAGTCTTTTAATATCTATTAATTACTATTATCTATAATGATAAATTAACAAACCATTTATTAATATAATTTTAAATAGCATTTCTGATGAATTTTTGAAAAAAGGATGGGCATTAAAAGAAAATCAAAAATTCAGGAATAAAGGTGGAGCAAAATTTCCCAAAAAAATAATTACCATTTTACAAGGATTTTTTCATGCTCAAGATATGTATTCTGAATTAATAAAGATAGCTGAAGATGGTGAAATAAATCAAGAATCAATTCCAAGAGTAGAATCTATACAAAGTTGGATTACTTGTTATGCTGCTGCATGTAAAGCTGAGGTGTCAAAAAATGTCATAAATCTAATAAATGTAGAGTTTAGTAATAATAAAAATCAATAAATTTGTTATAAAAAAAATTATATGAGAATTACCATTGGAATTAAGTTGAGTTCTATGACAACAAAGCATTGTTCAACTGAATTATATTATGTTTTTTAAAAAAATTTATTAAAATTCAATAAACTTTAAAAAAACTTCAACATTTTGAAAAAAAAAATAATTTTTTTTATATATATTTTATACCCGGAATCCATAGCTCCTCCAAAGCGAATTATTTATTTTGAAATAATAAAATAGATAATTTTTTACATTTTTTAAAAAATCAAGTTCCTATCTATAACTTTGCATGATTTCAAAAAAAAAATAATTTTTTTTATATATATTTTATACCCGGAATCCATAGCTCCTCCAAAGCGAATTATTTATTTTGAAATAATAAAATAGATAATTTTTTACATTTTTTAAAAAATCAAGTTCCTATCTATAACTTTGCATGATTTCATGTGACTTTGTATAACAAAAAAAATATTTTTTCATAATATACAACTTTCGTCACTCAATACATTTTTTTAAATTTATATATGCCGATCACCCGGTTTTTACTAATCAATTTTAATTTCTATCGTTGATCAGCGGACCACGAATTAAAGATACAAAATCATAATAGGAATAATAGATAGAAAATAATTATTAAAACCAAAAAAAAAATTCAAACTCAATTAATTCTACAACAATGCCTTTTTTAGGAGTTCGGGTTATGCGATTTGGAAAGTTTAAAATTTAACATGAGCTACGGATTAAACACATAATTATCTGTCTTTCAATAGTAACAAAAACAAAAAGTGTTTAGACGTTGTTAAAACAACTAATATTAATTAATTATTATTATTTTAAATAAAAAAAAACTTGTATAACTAAAAATTTAATGAAAATTTAAATTAAAAAATCAAAAGTCCAATTTTCATTATTACAATTATATTATATTAACGATTAATTAATTAATTCATATTATTATAAGAGAGCGAGTTGCAATCAAGACTATTTACAGAACTATCGCTACTTGTATAGCTTTTTAAGCTTTTAGATTTAGAAATTTCGTCGTTTAGTATCCTACTTGTATGGTATGCATATGGATGTGATTTGTATACTTGTTGAGAATCATTAACACCACTGCTGTTGCTGCCACCTTGCTTTGTAATTTTGGAAAATTTGAATAATCTTTTTATAAAATTATTCGAATTTTTATTTTTAGGCAATTCTGCTAATTTGTCATCAGCAAATTCCAAAAGCTCCTCGATAATTGGCCTGTTTGATGGATCCATATCCCAACACCTCTCCATCATTTCTACATAATCATCAGGCATTCCGGGTAATATTGGTGGTTGTAAACCTCTACATATATCATAAATTAAAAGGTGATTATGAGATCTATCATCAAATGGTGGATGGCCCGCAAATATTTCCCACAGTAACATCCCCATACTATAAATATCAGATTTTTTGGTATTTTTTGCATCGCTGTTGCCTCTGAGTAGTTCAGGTGCGAGATATGGTACAATTCCATATATTGTATTTGATGATTCCTCATCCACCGGTCCACACAATCCTAAATCTGTGATATAACAACCACCTCCATACATTAATATATTCCCACTATGTAAATCGCAATGTATTAAATCTTTTTCATGTATATAACATAATGCGCCACATAAATATCTAAAGAGTGTGACTCTGTCTTTTAATGTTAATTTTGAATGATTTGTTTGTAAATAGTCTTTTAAATTTCCTTCTGGATGATAATTAAGAACCATCGCATAATTTCCATTATGTGGGAATTTTGTTATACCATAGCAAGTAACAATCAATTCTGATTTAATTTTACAATAATTCATTGCCTGTAATTAAATATATAAAATCAATTAATACTAATGTTATATAAATACAATATTATTTATTTTTGTCTAAATAAAAGCTACCAACCTCACGAAAAAAATCTTTTCCTGGATTATTCGAACCATTTAAAGACTTCAAGACTACATGTTGTGGTCCAAAATAACTAAATTCTTTCCTCGCCTCATTATAATCATTAATAGTTCCTCTTGTCCAAGTGGCCGTATAAATTGAACTAAACCCACCCTCTGTTAATTTTGTGACTTTTAGAAGATCATTATAAGGTATCCATTCTAAAATATGTCTTGGTAAAGCTGAAGTCATATGACATTTTTGAATGAACTCATCAACCAAATAATTACCGGATGTCCAGGTGTCAAAAAGATTCTGTAGTTGTAGGCTGATACAACCTTCACAGAATCTGTCAGAATATCTTATTGATCTACACTTTCTGCATATTTTTGGTACACCCAATTCATAAACTGCATTGTTTAATTCAATATCATAAATAAACTTTTCTCTACAATATTGCTTTTCATTTTCAGAAAGTTTTTTATTTTTTTTGACTAATAAGAAAAAATCCTTTTTTTTATTTTTTATTTCAGAATTCAATAAAGCCTCATTATACATTTCGTTA